AAATGTGTATCTCCTGCTTCTGCGGAAGAAGCTTGGACAGAAGGCTGCAAACAGGCTGTGCATACATGAATGCCTCGGATCATGTATGGCTGCTTAAAAAATCCACTGCAAGGGAGCAGCTTTCACAGAAGATTTCTGAACTTCTTTTCTTCCATATTGCTTTAGATCATAGGGTTCAGATGAGATTTTAATGCATATTGAAGTTAATACATGGCTTTTTAGCCATCTCAGCAGCAGTGGAAGAATCAAAAATGCTTTTCTTTGTTGGCATTTTGGTTTTTGTCAGATTTACCCCTTTGGCTTCTGCCCTTTCGTATTTAGGATTGCAATTTTCCCCTGTTACACTGAAAGAGTTTTGTACCATATAAAGAATAAGGGAAAAGAAGACTGACTTGGAAAAAAACGGATCTTGCAACCTTCATAATGAAAAAATTAGTCACTGGAATTTAATGAATGAACCTGACATTCCTTGATTCCAGCTTTCTAGGACCCCAAGGACAGTTGTATGAAAACCATTTCTGACACTCTCAAAACTGCCCCTTTCAATGAGAGCATTCAAGCAGAGATGCAAAGTTTTGTATCAGACTAGTGCAGGACATTTGGCACTGCTGCCCCGGTAAAGAGCAAGGCTGGTGCTCAAGCACCAGCACAGGCAACAGGATTTGTTAGGCTTTTCAGGCACAAGAGCTTTCTGCTGATGGTTCATTTCCAAGGTGGAYTCACAGGGCAAGTAATTGCTGTTTCCTAGAGAAATAAATGCAGAGATCCACACAGCAAAAATAGGAGTTGCTAAACATGTTTTCATAGTTTCTGAATATTTTAAAAACACTGATAGCATCTTCCAAAAGTACTTTATGGTTATGATAATACAAAATAAAGTCTTATCAAAAAGATGAATAACAAGGTTATAAAAAGCTCTGCACAGAATACTGACCATGCCAGACATGGGAAATATTTATTTGCCTATCTGCATTACAGAGTAATTATGAACTTTACTTCTTGATRTATCATTCATGGACAGCCAAGTGAATGTGTAGTTCTCTGTGTCAATGAACAGAAATGGGAATTGTACATTTGAACAGCTGCATTTAAAACGGAAACTCCTTTAAAAGAAAAATGCAGAATAAAACATCCTAACACACCGATATATCCAMTCTTTATTCCAGGCAGACATTTCAGAGGTTAATTCAATACAGTATTAAACATGACACTATACAGTGCTGTATTCAGACAGGTGAACTCTTGAGGGACAGGAGGAAGAGCAATTGGTGATACCAAAAATACAGTGCAGCATTATCTACATTAGAAAATCTATACCCATATATAATTACTTTTCCAAAAACACTACATAAGCTTTTACATATATGATAGGGGGTTACAAGTTAAAAAAACCCAGTGCTGCCTTAGAATGAATTGCCCAGAAATGGTGAACTTTTGTCCAATACTAATAACCCAGTTAGTAAAGACAGACTAAATAGAAGGTTTCCCTTTCTGTCTCAGTCAAACCTAGTTAAAAGATGTGCAATTTTACTTCTCTAAAGGTGTCATGATGTGTGTAACCACCTTACAAAACCACACAAATGACTGTCAGGAAAAGTAGATTGTTGCTTATTCAGGTAACACCTCCACTAGTGCAGAATAGACTCAAAACACTCCTAAACAATTATTTTGTTTCCAGCTCTTTGATTCATGACTAATGGATCAGCATTTGAATTATTTTTTTTTAAATATAAGCTGCTGTCTCAGTAGATAAAATGAAAGTGAACCTGCATTTGCCTTTTAACACACTAGAATGTTTTTCCAACTGTTTCACTCTGAACTCYACAATACGACAGGCTCATGTTGACCTGTGCTGCTGTTGCTTTCCTCCATTTAATTACCAGAAGTATTCTACCTTTATTATGATAAGAATTAAACTCTGGAAAAAATCTTCTATCAATTTTAACTACAGTTACAACTTTTTCCCAGACTGTTCCTCTGAAGCAATCATACCTTTGAGCATCACAGCAAGGGCAAATATTCCTGTATTTTGACAACACTGCAGAATGATAAACAGCGACAGCCTCTTGTCAGGAAGCTTATACAGATGACTACTCAGAGAGGAAAAAAATTATTACTTACCTGTAAAGTAACTGCATTCTTCAAGGAGTATTACCTACCCAAATACCTCCGTGGCCCTCCCTCCCTTATCCTCCTGCATCCCACRTACAAGATATTGTACAGCAGAGATGGAATTAAACTGGAATAGAGGAGACAGCTGTGCCTTTATGCTCACTGGTGGCAGCACACAGAAAAGGAAAACCCCATTTGACACTGTGGGAGTGCCAAGAGTTCAGACAAAATAAAATTTTTTGCTACCTATGCTGTGATCCAGTTGCTGATTCACATGCAAAACTAATTCCATGCATGCCTGTCTGAAAGCCTGAAAGGAAAAGGAGCTGTGACTGACGCACATTTCTGGGCTTTTCCTTTCACTTCAGGAAGGAAGTGGTGGGATGGCCAAGTGATGCATGYTAAAATGATGTATCAATTGAATCGATCCTGCATTCATGTGATGTGTAATCTGCCACAAAGTTTTATGGAAGCGCATGAAATAGGATACATGCTTTCACTAAGGCATTTAGGTTCAATTAAATCTGAGGTATCCTGTCCTACTTCATAACCACGTCTTGAACTACACTCACGAAGATCTTTATGGCCTAAGTTCACTCTTGGAATTAAGGTGGATGTCTCTAGTCAACTCTTGGGAAAGATTAGTTAACAGTTTGAGAAGGCAATGAAATGATTATTTTAACTGTTAAAAGTATTTCTAGGACCMGACAATCACCTAGGTTAGGGGAAGATTTTTGTCATATAACCGTGTAAATAATGCAACAGCACCTTTTACGTGTGCACTTTCACGGACCAAATGGGAAGTGTTCACGGACAATACCGGAAGTGTTTTGCACTAGGAATTTTCAATTACTTCTTAACTGAAAGAAGTAATTAAGTGAACAGTGAAATCATTACATCATTATAAGCTCTTACTCCTGCGAACTACTGCTTTTCCTTATGTATTTCCTCAAGAAGCCATGACCCAGATAAAGAACTTAATGATAATGACCWCAGTCCATTCTAGCTGGAATAAAACTCTCCCTAGAAAGAAAAACCCTCCTTTGTGAACTGACCTTCCACTGGGTAAGTGGAACCTGGAAACTCAAGACTGTCAGCTGCCTGAAGTACTACTTAAAGCTTCCTCATGGATACAGTCATTTAGCTTTTGAGACAACAAATTCTTCACCCACGTTTAGAGACTGCACATCTACAAATGTTAGGATTTTTCCCAGTTAAAAATAGGAGTGYCTGATTAACTGTAATTCTAAAGTGCATGCTGGCTAATGAAGATGAAAAATTGAAACCRTCTTCAAAATCTTCTATAGAGTTCCCTTGCTTCCTCTTTTCGGCCATAACCAGTACCAAATACGAAGAGGAAAATTGGTTCTACTTCTAGTTAGCTCATTACTGAGGACTTCTGGTTTGCAATTTCAGAAATCTATCAAAAGATTCTCACAAAATTATTGAAAATGGATTTATGCAGTGTTGGTTGAACTACAGAATACAGAAGGAAAGATGCTATGCCAAATACCTACTCCTCAGAAGAGGACAACTGGTGAAAAGAAATCAGTTAGTTAAATAATGTTGGCTTTTCTCTGAAAAATATCTGTAAAAACCTGCGTATTTTCCTAAGAAGGTCCTGAAGCTTTAAGGGAGTATACCATGTGGTGGTACCAAAATGTGGTATTACGGTTTCATTTGATTTCAGGAGCAAACACTCATAGGCCCTCAAAGCTCAGGTGAGCTTGGTGGATCTCCTTCATTCAGCTCCACATGCTGATCAACTACTTGAAGAAGTCTGAACAAGAAAAGCACACAAAATTGTTACTCATAAATGGAGAAATACTTCTTACCCTGATGAGACAGTACTTTGACTTAAGAGGTTTTTAAGAATATACATGGGGTAAGTGCTGAAGGCCAGAACACCATGGTAYACAACTTAAATGGTAATAATCACAGAATCCAGCTCAGAAAGAGTGTTTGGGGTCCTTGTGCAATTCATCCAAAGCAACAGATGTCCACAGAAAATTGTTTACTTCATTACCATTTCCTGAAGAAAACGGCAAAATAAAAAACCCCAAACCTCCAAAAACATATTTGCTTCAGAAGTGGAATGAAAGACRAGTTTATAAACTACTGAAGAAGTACCTTTAGGGCAGTGTATAGCTTGGTACCAAGA